TACTATATATAAAATTAAAAGTCTAATATTATATATGTATGAGTAAAAGGTCAGTCTTACCGTTAGTAGGCCTCATTCACAAAGTTGGTCTATAAGGGGTGTTTAAGGAAATTGCCTATAAAATAACGATTGAATATGTATCCACTCCTACCCACCGCACTGTTGACTAGTAAAGGGTCGTTAGCCGAATGGGTAGGATAGGATACAACCTTCCATTATAAGTATAATGAAGTACTAAGTAACTAAATACTTTTATAAATTCCCAATCTTAGTTACTTTAGGAAAAATATGGAGTTGGTGTTATTCCATGAAATTACACTTTGTACCCTTGCTAAGACGTTAGTGGAGCATGTGTGGTTAACCGGCACACTAATTGGGCTCTATGTAAAGGTGGAAAAGGGTGACTCGATGTTTGTCATAGATCGATGGAGTGTGTGTGGTTAACCGGCATGTCGATTAGGCGAGTATAACATTGGGGGTATCATGTATATTTGCATGGTTATCCACAACTTGTTTGTGATCCTCGGCATCCCAGTCACAAACGAAGGGCACATTCGAGATTTAAACATGCCATTGAAAAGTTCAATGAATCTCAAAAGATCTAGGAGTTTCATTTCATTTACAACTTAATTTTTAATTTTCGTTTTTCATGGTGGAAATTGTTAAATCGTCGTTTACCTACCTTCAAATGTTCTGCAATTTGGATTACGAAATCCCTCTTCAGAATTGTAGAATATTGTGTTGGGTCCTAGCCTTGATATTTCATTTGGGTGTTATATTAAGGATTCCAATCAACTAACTTGAATTTCTCCCGTTTTGTAGATGTTAAAGTCTGACAACTATGGTCTTCCTGAATCCGTTGGAAAAAGTTTTCCGCATGAAGATGATGTTCCACGATTGGATTGTGGAAATGGAAATCATGCTTCACTTCCTCCACCTCCTCCAATAAATTTCCCTCACCTACGTGTTCGAAGACTAGAAAAGTTCAAGGTCACTTAAGCCTTGGATATGAAGTTGCATATGGATAGATTGGGAATATTGGGTGTCGATGTCTCAAGGAAGTTGGTTGCTGACTGGTTCTTCAGTCACTTCCCGAATCATATACTGAGTTCATTAGAGAGTACTACGTGATGGACCACGACGTAACCATCATTGATTTGACTTATTTGCTTATTGCTGCTGAATCTGCAATGATTTGGCGCACTGGTTGAAACACCCCATTTCTAGTATGTGATTTAAATAAATTAGAGACGAGTTTTGTGCGCGTTTTAAGTTGGCTACTCAACGAGTCCATATTGTTGGACTCGGCGAGTCTTCCAGTTGGGACGAAACCCTAATTTCAAGGGTTTTCACCCTATTTAAACAACATTATACACCCCAAACCAACCTCCATCACCCTCAGAACGTCCCTTACTAAACCCTAGCCTCCCTGTAAGCATTCTTGAAGTATTTTTCATTTTGTGGAGGATTTTGGTGCATTTTGAAGTTAGAAGAAGATGAGAGAAGAGGGGTTTTTAAGAAGATCAAAGAAGATTTGAGTTTATTGTGTCATTCCAGTTTCCATTAACGTATAAAGCTCGAATTTTTGCTTGTCATCATGTAGATCTCCTTAAAAGCTTGCTAGTTTTGTTTTTGAGCCATTTTCTAGACTTTGAGGTCTATTTAAGGGTAGTTAAGATGAATGGGTTTCAGATCTAAGCATTTCAAGAATCCTTAAGCTCATTGTTGCTGTGACAACCTGGAATTTATTCCGTCACTGTAACCCGTTCCCGTTAATAAAACTGTTTGCACTCTAATTTTTTTGTTAACTTTGGATTAGGTTAATTAATTAAGACGTTCATTATGACCTCGTGAGTGTCTCAACACATTAGAAACGTGTGAAATCACCCTCGATATTCAATTGGAAATTTTTTAGTTACAACCACGTCGGGTTACGACAACTTAATCGAGTACGACCATAAGCCCGTTTAACGTCGGTATCGGGTAGATTTCCACCGAACCTCAAACTCAAACCCTATATAAGGGTGAGTGGACTTCATTTGAAGCTTTTTCACTCTCTCTTACTACTCTCTCTCTACAATCCAAGTTTTGATCCAAAATCACGCATTTCAAGCTCCAAATTGGTAAGTAATCCATCCTAGCTGATAGTATAGCATGTTTAGCTTTCAAATCCGTTTCTAAATCATCCAAAAGGACCAAAGACTTGTGTTTATGGCCCAGGAACAGCCCCAATCCGTAAACACACTTAAATGGGGTTTTGGAGCCCCAAAACCCTCCCGAACCACTTCTAGTGCTTAGCAATGACTTAGGGGCTTACATGAATGGACTTAGAACACCAAAATCTTGATGTTTGGGGAGTAAACATGAGTTTACGGCCCAAGATCATGCTTGGACCATAAACACCCCTTTAAGGGCCATAAACACCATTTAAGGTGTTAAAATGCACCTTAAACACCTCCTATGCCTTGGAATAATATCTAGAACCAACCACCATTGTGTTAGGGACCTTAAACATGAAAGCAACCACCTACTTAGGAGATTATGGTTGTAAACCCCCCAAGGAATGGTTCCTGGGCCATAAACTCCTCTATAGTGGTCAAATGTTGCCCTAACTTCCTTCCATGGCTTGTACTTTGGACTAGAACCACTTATGCTTAACCTAGGACCATCAAACCACAAAAGGAAAGGTTATGTGAGAGTTTATGGATGTAAACGCCCTGTTTACAGCCGTAAAATCCTTAAAATGGTCCATATGATGGTTTAATCACTTCCATTGCCTTAGAACTGAACCTAGCTAAATTCCACAAGTGTTCTAAGACCATTAAGTATCCAAGAACACACCACCCATGAGTTTACGGCCGTAAACAGATGGGGATATGGTCATTGAGCTGAAAACTCCCTTAGGAGTTTACTCTTGAAGACCAAACTCCATATCTAGGCCATACACCTCCTTAGATGCTACCCGGATCACTCCTAACACTTGAAATAAAGTGTTTTCGCGCCTCGGAGTGCATTATCTTACTTAATTGGTAGTTCAAAGTCTAATTAGATACAATTATGTATCTCTTCATATTACATAGGAACCTCGCGTGTATTTAAGCCCCGAACTGACACTTAGCATCCTAACCGACACATTTCTCGTCTGGTGAGTTCATACCGCTACACTTTTTCCGTGTTTTCAATGTTTTCAGGGGGGAATACAAGCAAAAGTATAAGGAAATCTTGTACTCAAACTTATTATTTCATTTGAAATGTTTCATATTCTGTATGCTTGTAACATTGGAAACCGTATTAACCAACCGTTTAACTTGCAGAGTTAGTTTTCAAAATGTTTGTGAAACTCGTTATAAAATGTTATATTTTATATTTCACAAATGATTTTCCACATCATTACTGTTAAAGGCATTAACTTATAACTTTGGATACGTCCTCTGTAACACTCCATAGAGATATGCGAGTGGAGGACCACCTTTGTAACCAGAATCTAAAACAGGATTTTCCGCATTATTACTTATAAATTTGTTAATCTTAAAAATTGGAGACACATCCTCTAAAGCACTCCACAGAGATACGCGAGTGGAGGACTGCCCCAGTAACCAGAATCTCCTGGACGGAGAGCGTGACTTGAGTGTATAGATCTATACGGGGCTAACTACCCCGCACCTTGCTGCTAGCTACAGTGGGACCGGTAGGTCTACGGGTGACAAAAGTCATAAGATGATACTGGACTTCTTATTTCCATATCTAGTCTATCGTATGGTTATGGAACACGCAATTTAGATAACGGATAATTACGTGTTAGTAATAATGAACCTAGTAAACTAATAACCTAAAGACCCCATTTTGGCCTCCCTCATTTCCTCCCTTAGTCGAGGAAACCCTAATTCAAACCCTAACCCATTTTCAGTGTTCATGAGCCATTTTAGTGTGTTTTTGGTGGTTTTGAAGCTTGAGAAAGAAGAAGAAGCTTGGGAGTTCAAGAGGAAGCAAGTAGATCCAGAGGTTGTGTTCCATTTCTTGCTCATTTGAGGTATAAAGTTTATACCTTGGCCATTCATCTGTTATATTTCCTCTTGGAGTAGTTTAGGGCATTAAGGAGCCATTTTTGGAACCATGCATGGATGCAAGCATGTTTTGGGGTATTGACTTTAGATCCAGAGCCTTTGAGGGACTCCATGGCATAACAATGCAAACTTTGTAGCCATGGGAGTCCTCTGCATCCTAGGAACCACTTTTTAGGACTTTTTAAACAAAATAACCCATGCATGCATGTAAAGTTTGAAACTTTACGTGTTATATCGACCCTAGGAGGCCAGATCTATGTTTTGGATGCGTCGAGGAGCCTTGACTCGACGAGTAGGTATGCCAGAGTGAAACCCTAATTTTCAGGGTTTGTACCCGATTTAAACACCTTAACACATCCCATTGTGGCCTCCCTCATCGCCTCCCTTAGTCTAGAAAACCCTAATTCAAACCCTAACCCATATTGAGTGTTCTTGAGCCATTTCACTACTAGAAAAACAGCCTTTTACGATGCTCATTGTGCGTCGTAAAAGGCTCAAACGACGCGCAAATGCGCATCAAGGAAGGCCCTGTCATAAAGAGAGACGACACGCTTTTGCGCGTCGTCTATAGACGACGCGCATTTACGACACGCAATGCGTATCAAGGAAGGCCCTGTCATAATGGAAGACGACACGCATTCACGTGTCGTAACCTTACAACGCGCGTGTTAATGACACTCAATGCGTATCAAGAAAGCCTCCATCAAGAAAGGCCATGTCATAAATGAAAATGACACACATTTTTGCGTATCGTAAATTTAAATGTTTACAAAATATGTATTTATATATTTATTAACTTTTAAGTGAAATTTGCATTTAATGTCTCATAATAGAAATAAAATATCATATACAAAAAATACAATCCATTGCATAAAATTTAATGTCATACAATTCTATTTCATACAATTTATAAATTTTCATTCTTCTAATCTACTCTCTAATCTACTGTGTTTCATACTAACAATTTAAATGAAGAATGCAACACTTGCATTTATAGCATCTTATCTCTTTTAGCTTGAGCTTTCTTTTCCTCTTCTAATTCCAGAGTTATTCGCTTTCATCAACCCTGTAAACACAACACAAAATCACTTGTCATTTTCATTTTACATTTAAAATTAATTCTTATTAGGACATTCTACTTTTAAACCTACCAATCTAGCAAATTTTTCAAAGAATATAATTTATAATTTTTTTGTGGAAAGTACATTGTTATTTCTCTAATACAAGATGTTACAAAACTTACCTTTGCAGCCATACATGAATCAGTTATTTTCTTAGCTTCAGAAAGAACCTGAAACAAAAAGCTTATGTTCCATATTAATACTAAAAGAAAAAAAGGCTTTGATTATTTGAAGGGAAAACTGCATACATCAATGAGGATATCAGGTAGGAAGTATAATGATGAACAAAAGAGTGAATGTGATCAAAAGTCAATATGTACGACACCTGTGACTTGTGATCTCACTTAAACCATTCCCCTGTCAAATTTATTAAAAAATAATGCAAATTTGAGATAAATAAATATGAAAAGGTAAAAAATATCCAGTCTCCTTTGATAACAAACTCCAGTCACATCTGACCATATCCAGACCTTTCTTCTCTATAACTTTATGAATTTTCCCATCTCTGATTTGCTCTATTACAACTGCATATTTTTTTTATGCAATAGCATTCTATTGTATACACCATCAAGATCGATTTCTAATCTCTTGTATCTCCTGTTCACCTACCATTAAATCAAAATCAAAACCAACTTTTCACTATTATAATCACAAAACTATTTATAAAACTGTAAAAACTACCTCTTTGACTGTGATTGATTTGGCTTTATTAATATCAGCAAGTCCAATAAGCACAAAGGGTAAAACTACCTCTTGTATTGATGTACTTGCCTTACTTCTATCATAATAATCAAGATGAAGGGGAAAGAAATCTTCAAGAACTGTAAGCACAAAGGGTAAAACAGTCAATAAACCAAAAAAGAATACAAATTGATAGATTTTTTGCATTTTGTGATATTCTTACTTTGTTCAGGGGTGCATACTTCTTTATCACGCCATTCGCATCACACAAGTGCATGAGGATTGTATTCCTAAAAATTTACAACATAAAAAACATCAAAAACCTTAAAAGGAAGGATATTATAATTATGTATAATAATCTAACTCTATGAAAGGTTTCTTATCTTTTCCAGCAGTTGAAGCAACCTCCAAAAACTCCTTATACTCCTGTGTCCACCTTCTAACTAGCAACTCAGTGATGTAGAGGGTACTTTCGTCCTCATCCTTAATTCCTCAACAATTCCAATGGTTGTGTATCCAGTGTCATTTGAATCAAAATATGTCCTAGCTTGTATAAAGAAAAGTAAATAAATTATCATTTACTAAATGAGGTAAATGCAAGAATAACTTCAAACAAACTGTAATAATACACAAAAAACTTCACAAGAAATGATTTTATTTTGAAATCTTTTGAAATTTTTTGCTCTTGCACTAGATTGAAGAATTGGGATCTCAACATTCTTCCTGATAATATTTGTCAAATTTTATTCATCTTTCATAAAAATCAACAATTTGGAGATGAAATTAAGATTAAAACTTACATTTGATGTCCTGCCCTACAATAATGTGCTCTACTCCATGAAATCTTGACATTTATTTTTGGTAATCACTGGAGTTTACAATAAATGCATGACGTAAATGAATCACACAGTTAACCCTTTTGTTAGGTGTTTCACCATAGAATGTGTCTAAAGATGACGTGGATAATAATAATTCTTGAACATGTGATAATGTAGGACAATCTACAAGGAGGAAAATGGGCCCAGGGACAGAAGGTCCAAGAACATCATCAGGATGAACCTGAAATTGTCAGATTGAATCAATAAGAAAAAAAATTATTATATAAAGTTAAAGAAAAATCGAAAAGTAAAGAAAGAATGGAAGATGATATACCATAATGTCTTTTAAACCTGATTTCACAGAAATCCCTTCTTGTAATTCGCGATATTTTAGCCTAGGTCTTAGTTTACCACCTAAAGATAATAATAATAATAAATTAATTAATTAATTACAAATATATATGGAAAAATACAAATTTATTATATTTTCCATTTCATGATCATCGTTGGTTTTGCCTTTAGGAATGGAAATACACCTTATAGTTTTTAATTCTACTCTATACATTATATAGTTAAAAGTAGAAATAAAAAAGTTCAAACGTAAAAAATCATATTCCTTCACGAGTGTTCCATTCCATTCCTTCCCTTGATTCCATGAAGGGAAGAAAGAAAGAATAAAATACCTTCAATATGCCAAGGAACTCTGCAACGTGCACAATTTCTCCATTTCCAATAGACGACATGAAATGTTACTTGTTGAAATTGAAATTGACATGAACAACATAGCACATCCTGATCTGATCGACATTGTAAGCAATATACTCATTGTATAATAACCTAGCCTGCAATAGATTCAGAAGACCAGTCATCATAAACCATAATAACCAAACTAACACAAGAAAGAAAAGTAGGTGATAGTGATATAAAGTATAAAGGGGAGTTGAGTTGACCTTTGAAGTCTGCTGCTTTTTGGGGTGTCCTAGGGGAACAACAACACCATCCTCCAGTGTCTCAAACTCTGACATATCAGGGGCAGTAGCCCCAACTCCTTTCCTGCTGACAACACACCAGACAACACACAGGAGCCTTTTTATACAAAATCACAGTAAAGACTTTTTATATAATAATTTATTTATGCCCTGTTTTAGGTAACTAATATCTTTTGCATACCTTACATAGTAGAGAAGAAAGAATGTTTACTATTTTTGATAGTATCTTAACATTTTCTTGAGTGAATCTACATCAAATTCTTTACCTTGAAATCAAAAACATGATCCTCAACAAATTTCCCAAAAAAAAAAATAAGATAATTCAATAAATCCTACTATGTTCCAACAAGACAAACCTAAGAAACTAATACATAGAGCATCAAAAGTAGACATAATGGAGTACTTTTCTTAAATTGTGAAGCCTAGAGTACCTTTCTTAAATTGTGAAGCCAAGAACCTTTCTGGTAAACTAACACCCAATGCCCGTAAATTGTGAAGCCAGTCTAAAAGTAGGAATGTGTTTCGTTTAGTGAGAGGAGATGATAGAGTGGGAATAGGAACATTAGGAGGATTATTCATTTTTCATATACTTGTGTGTATGTATTTTTGTGTAGATGAAATTACAGAGAGAGAGAGAGAGAGAGAGAGAGAGAGAGAGAGAGAGAGAGAGAGAGAGAGAGAGAGAGAGAGAGAGAGAGAGAGAGAGAGAGAGAGAGAGAGAGAGAGAGAGAGAGAGACCGGTGTCTTCAAGAGTACGTAGGATAAGCAGAGCATGTCTTGTAGATCTAGAGTTCGTGACTACTGTGTACCATTGGACCCGTCTCTTCATGTGATCCACTGGTGTGTTTAAAAGTAAGATAAGCACACCAATGTGCTATGTCGCAGTGTCCCTCCCCACCCTTTCCGTGTTCATGTTTCATGTATCCTTTATCTCCCAAACCTTTTCCCCAAGAGTTCTTAATTAACCAATACTTTTGTCCATCAGGGGTTTCATCAAATCCAACCACTGCTACAACATGAATTGGTATTGGCCCACACAATCCCTCATAAACCCCCTGTTAATTCGTATTATAATTAATTAAATACCTTTTGACATTCAGCTCTTTGTGAAAGATGATATAAACCAATAATTGATGATACCAGATGTGTGTGTGTGTGTGTGTGAGAGAGAAGATTACCAGATGGGTCGATTCTCAGCCTTACAAAGGTGTCGTGCCCTAGTTCTTTACTAAAAATATTAAACAAAATGAAAGAAGATCAAATTCAGTAGAGAATACAAAGAGTGTGGATAGGTCCGATTTATCATCATCAAAAAGCTTCGATCTTCCGGCATCGACGAGGCCTTTGACACCGGTTTTTTTTGGTCGAAAGCTTTGAGCTCTGATTGTCGATCGTAGCTTGAGCCGACTGAAGCAATTGTGGCCCTATGAATGTAAAGTGTTCGATTTCTTGTAAGAAATGAAGTGATAGAGATCGATCTATGGAGGATGTGGATCGTTCTTTGAGGGATGAAAAAAAAACCCTAGTTTCTTACACTTTGTGAGGATAGGGTTTTCTAATTTTTAGATTCCTGCAAGGTATTAAGGAGGGGACACGGTGTTTGATGAGACCGATAAGCAGGTCAGGAGTGGCAGAGAAGTGGATCGGAGAGGAGAGAGAAAGAGGGAGAGGGGAGAAGATGAAAGATACAACGAAGGTAGAAGATGGGTTCAAAATTTTGGGGATTTCGTTTCCCCCTCTACTAAATGCGCGTTTTTATTAAAATTATAAAGTGACGGGTATAGAGGACGCGCCTTAAAAATAAAGCGCCCTCCGTGTTTTTCATTTCTTTTCTTGAGACACTAATTTAAGGGCACACAATAATGCGTGACGTAAATCCTTAAATTTTTTGAAGAGATGACACTTTTTTAATATCACTCTCTTTTGCGTAACATAAATCAATGAGTGTCGTTGTTTGCGCGTCGTAAAAGGGCCTTTTTCTTGTAGTGTTTTTCTGTGTTTTTGGTGGTTTTGAAGCTTGAGAAGGAAGAAAAAGCTTGGGAGTTCAAGAGGAAGCAAGTAGATACATAGGGTGTGCTCCATTTCTAGCTCATTTCAGGTATAAATTTTATACGTTGACCATTCATCTGTTAGATTTCTTCTTGGAGTAGTTTAGGGCCTTAAGGAGCCATTTTTGGAACCATTCATGGATGCAAGCATGTTTTGGGGTACTGACTTCAGATCCAGAGCCTTTGAGGGACTCCATGGCATAATGGTGCCAACTTTTTGGCCATGGGAGTCCCATGCATCCTAGGAACCACTTTTTAGGGCTTTACGAGTCCAAGGAAAGGAGTCACAACTGGCATTTTTGCTACGAAATTCTACTCTCATGTAATCATTCACCTAGTATAATAACTTGTACTCTAAGCGAATCTCCTACTCCATGCTCATTCAAATGCACCTCTCATGTACAACAAATAGTCTGAAAACCCTAAAAGTCTCAGTTTAAGTCAATATTGGACTAGGATCTCCTTATTGGGCCTAATGCACCAATAAGCTTCGGATTCGACTATTTTGGGCTTAGGAACCTTAAATGGGCTCTAATTGCACCCACTTCCATAAAACTTAGCATTTGCATCATTTTGGATCCAAAATAAATTAGTCTACCCTTAATGGGCCTTATTGGGCCAAAACAACTCCAAATAATTTTAATGGACCATAAAACCCATTCTTTATACTATGTGGGCCGTGAACTTGATGGGTTTTAGCCATAAGAACATCCTATGTTCTCATGCAACCCTAATGCTTGGATCTAGGTTTCTCTATTGTACATGCAATGTATCTAAGACTTACAATCTTAGATCTAACATATTATAAACTGGAATTAGGGTTTAGAGGATTACCTTTGATTGTTATGTAGCAATAAAAATCTCAAATCCTCCTTGTAATGACTTTAGAAAGCTTAGAGTCACAATAGTCACTCCTCTAATAGCTCACAAACACCAAGAGCAAGAGCATGAAGAATAAGGAGAGAGGAGGCTGCCCAAAACGTATAGAAACCCAAGTGGAACTCTTAGCCACGTTTTTGGGGCTTAAGGGTACTATATGTACATGTAGGCTATTAGGGTTTTTAACTAGGAAACCCTAATTTGACTGTTTAAGCCCTAAGCAGCCCATGGACCCTTTTAGAATAACCCTTGGACGATTTCTAATGGGTTTCCCCATAGAATTCGTCCAACCTATTATTCCAAGGTAATCCATAGCCCAAATGCAATTATCTTATAATTACAATTCCAGTCCCTTAAGTTTAATTAATCTCTTCTAGCCACAAAATTAATTATCAATTAATTATTGACTAATATTAATTAAACAATATGATTTCTGCTTTAATATATTATTCTCATAATATATTAATAAATCATAATTAATCTTCTCTCTCCATAATTCATCTTATCAAGTTGCTTTGGTGAAGGCAACCCAAAAGGACCATGCACCATCGGGTCAAGTACTACCAAAATAGTTATGGACTTAGACACTAATCCAACAGTCTCCCACTTTGATAAGTCTAATAACTATTCTGCGTATGACTTCAGATCCTGATCTGCAATCGTAGCTTTCAAAAGATCGTTGTCAACTCTGATCTTATCAGATACACATCCTTTAGATAAGGGATCATATATTCCTCCATTTTAGATATCGTATAGACGTGAGACATGGATTGAAATCATTCTCTCTATACTGTTTCCCGATTTCCGATTTATGATGACGGACAATAGATTGCAATTGAACACATCAAATTGGTCCCGTCTTGGCCAATCACTTAGGTGTCATCACTAAATCATCGTGGGACCCAAAGATATCGCTTTCATTCGATTTTTGATAAAAGGAATGGATAAAATTTGATTCAATTCTTCCTTGCACTCACTCACCGAATCACACACAACTATATGTTTTATGACACCAAGTTACTGGTGCGTTTACATATTATCAATGTGTAACCGACTCGCAAGATACAAGTCACACATCTCGGTTTCAAGAATATAAGATGTTATCGTCTCACCAATCACTCGTGATAAAATCCATGAAGTGATCCAAGTGAGCGTGGGTTTAATCCAATGCTCAAAGCATATTCATAAGCACTCATGAATGTTGCAAAAAAACATTTGCTTATGTCTAATACACTTTAGACAATCCACACACCAATTCACGACAGTCTTCATTCATATCTACTTCCAACATATGAACGACTGTGGTCCGTTCGAATAATTTGATTGTTCTGAATCAATTTAATTATTCAGGAAGTCAAAACATGCAAAGTGAAACACAATAATACTAATCCCATATGGCCCCAAACTCAGGGTATAAATAAAACATTTTATTTAATCACCATATTGATTACTCATTATTTGTTGATTCGGGTAATCAACTTCTTACTTGAATTATAACAAAAATTGTCCCATGCTCTTAGCATGCACACAATGTTTACCTACGATCCTTACTTTGTGAAATAGGTCAAATGAACACATTTCCAATCATACTTATTTCACAACTCCCAATCCTTATCATATGTATAAGGATATCAAATTGTTGCCACTTATAGAATATGCTAGATTCTAACATTTTATGCAAAGATCCTTTCGTAAATTCATAACTCAAAATCATCAAGACTTGGCCATTCTCTATTAGAAGCAATTCTATAGATATGATGTCTCTCATTCAAAGTACATTCCTTTAAACATCCTTCTTTCATAAAAGTTTCTAATCCAGACATAGATTCTCAATATCCAACTCTCAATATGGAAAGATTTCCGTATTTTGCCATATGACAACTTATTCTTAATAGAATCTTATCTATTCATGATAATGTCGATATGGTCCATCCAATACCATACTTCCAACTACTCACAAGTGACCAATCCTCAGCAAGATTTGGATCGTCCTTTGATAGTTGTTTAATTATTTTAGTCAATACCGATTTTAGTCCGTTTTCCCTCTAAATAGGCTAGACATTTGGAAAATTTTAGAATGGTCAAATATAATAGCACTAGAAATCAATCCTATACCCGAAGCGTATGGGACACGATGCATAATGTCTTACATAAAGATATGATACTTTATCAATCTTCTGCCATAATATTTAATGTGCCACGTTCTCACAATTCGAACAATGCCATAACACTATGTATCATTGACTAAATTTATTAACATTCCACAACATAAGCCTTTAGATTAGAAATGAAGCATAATATTCTCTCCCTTAATTATAGCAAAACAACTATTCAACCCTTACGACTTTGCAAAGTATAACTCTTGTTTTCTAAAATTAATATTGCTAACTTGCAATACTTGTTTTAATAATCATACAAGCACAACATTTATTCTCCCACTATCATGATGATTATTATCAAATAAGCATAACACTTATGCTCCCACTAGCTTTGACATGATAATCCTTTATCTAAACTTCTTAAACTTATACACCTCTACCTTAGATAGCTCATATGTGTGTCTAAACAATTCAGACTAATTGCCAAATCTCATAATTCGAATTATGGAAAGGGATACCATAACCATAATCGAATTCGAGAATACAATTTCAC